GCGATAAAATAAATTTCATTCAGACTTAGATCATAAAAACAACTGAACATGTTGACACGCTGATTTTTCGCTCCTTTCTGAGTTGTAATCTATTAACTCTTATTGATAGAGAAGGACACCTTTCTTCAACTTTCTGCAGGTAAATACCCATCTACTCGAAACCCATCTTGTAATGGAACCATTTGCTGTGGCGGTATGGCGACAGCTGCCCTCGATTCACCCTGTCTTTCAGCTCCTTTTTCCACACCTTCGCAGTGTGATGGCGATCAATAACTTCCTTAGAACTGGCTTTGTAGCTGAGAACAAAAGAGCCCAAGAGATCCTTAAGAAAGGTTTCAAGACTTTCAAATTTGGTATGCTTTCACTTCCCGACGCCTTAAAAGACAGAGGTGTTGATGATCCGGAGAAATTACCCAAGTTTTATTTCAGGTGATTGCTAAGAAATGTACCTCAGAATCATCTTTGAATTAGATCATTACAAGCTGCTTCTTAATTTTTGGTCAATGCCGTCAATATATACTGCCTTTCACAGATCTTTTGTTTCCCCAATTTCGTTATAAAGGAAAATTAGTATGTGTGACGAGCTGAAAAGTGTAATCATCACCATCACTGTTTTTCTTATTTCCAAAACCCTAGTTGCCTGGATAAAATTACCAATTTTCTGTTTCTTAGGGATGATGCCCTCTGTCTTTGGTCAGCCATTACATCTTTCATAAAAGAGATCATCATCCTTTATTACAAGTCAGATGATGACGTCACCAACGATAACGAGCTCCAAGCTTGGATTAAAGATGCTCATGACAACGGCTTTTTAGCGGGGGAGGTCGGCGACGACCACGGATGTCCAAACGGCCTTGAAACACGTAATCAACTCATTCATGTGCTAACATGCTTGGTGTTCACGTGCTCATGTCAGCATGCTGCAGTAAACTTTGGTCTGTTAGATGTGGCAGGTTTTGTTCCCAATGCTCCCTCGGTGATGCGCCAACCGCCTCCTACGAAGAAAAACGAGACAACTCTCAAGTCCATTATGGACACACTGCCGAGCAAGTCCCAGGCTGCTCAACAAGTAGCGTTGGGTTACGTCTTTACACAATTTGCAGAGGATGAGGTAAGCTTCTGTCAAGCTAGGCTTTGAATCCACGAGTAACCAGTGATTTCGCGCTCAACCATCTTTGCGGATTCTTCCCCTAACGTAAAAGGAATTCACCCCGACCTTCACCAGATTGCCCCAATTTTAAGGAACTTAGTTTTAGGCTTCCCCGTTCCTTTCTCTTGAGAAATATTCCCGGCAACTTACTAGTACATCTCCTTTTCAATTTAAATTGAACTTCTTCCTCAATAGGGACAGCCTGACAAAAAAGAGCCCCTAAATATAATCATGTTATTCAGTTAAAGATATCATATTTTAAAACGCAACTCTCCAATGTCAGATTTTACACCATCCATAGGTGTGGTGAATTTGCTCACAGTTCTTTAACAAAACCTCCGTTTTATTCCTCTCATAGCGTTATATCGGTGACATTACACACAGCCTCTTGACTGGTGACGAGGAAGATGCCGCCATGACTCGTTTCCAAGTCGCTCTTCAAAAGATCTCCGATTCGATCAAAGCCCGCAATGAATCATTGGAATTGCCGTACATCTTCCTCTTACCCGAGAGAATTCCCAATAGCATTGGTGTCTGAGGTTAATAGACAAAATTGAACAATAAACAATTTTGCAGAAGAAATACGGCGCTTTTAAGCCCATAAGTTTGTTGTGCGGTGTATATTGCATTTGGCATTGGCGTCAAAGACATTATCGCATCTTTTTTTTGTTTCGTTTTTGTTGCTGTTGACATCTGGTTTTGGCCTCTAGTTACAACAGTTCTCGAGGTTTGTTATGTAGCTGTTTATAATTTTCAAATATGCGTAATTACACTTATCCTGGTCTCAGTGTGGGATCCATGCTATGTTTACCTTCCTTTCAGAGAATAATGTCGAATTTTTCTTTGAAAGTGAATATATTTATCGCAATATTTACACGGATAACAATTACACAACATTTTTAAATTTTTTTTTTATTTTGCCTGCCTTGATGAATAGTTCTATTTTTATACAACTCAAGTCCTGATCATAGAATTTTTTCTATGACAAAACGTTTACCAGTTATTGCGTGACAGAGAATTTATAAAAATAAACCTCCTTGATATTTTTAGATCCATTCTAGGTTATTTCTCTACGCTTGTAACCCACTTCAGGTCATATATTTCTAAAGACTGAGAATTACAGTACCATTTACTGGCGAATATCTATTGCTAATCATCTTTCACACTGAATTCATAACTATTATATTCGCTCCTAAGAGTACGTATCTTGCTAATTCATGGGAGGAGCCACGCCCCTTTGCTCTCTCCTTACACACACTCTTTTCTGTTCTTAATTTGGTTATGTAACAGTTTTTAGGTGATAATTTTTTTTTATCACGAAGAGTTTCAGCAACTATGATTTCCAAATAAATAGAATATGATCGAGGATCAGTATATGCATGCTAGAGAAAAAATTAATACAACTCTACCATTCATTTTCGAAACATTGATTTCAGAAGATTAATAATCTAATTATGCAATTCGAATAGAGTTGTACTAAAAGAGATATCTTGGAAGAAATTTCAAATTTACGGAAAAGAATAATATACTCAAACAGAAGATATCAAGAAAATTTTCAACCAATGGCGCTGTAGTGACTATTGCCTTTGTCTTCGAGATTCCATCTATCAGTTTAAAAGTAGTAATTTTCGGGTGAAGAATTTAATAATATTGAGAAGTGCAGTCTAGCAATAGGTTGCCACCAAGGAAGGCTTGGCGATCTTTTTTTCCAATATTTGAACTTGACGCGAGAGACTGGAACGGACTGAGGGTGTGTCTTAGGGTTAGGGTTAGTTAATTCTGCAGTTTCTTTCTTTTCACGCTCGAAGCTATAAATATTCTTAAGCTTGATTCTAGTATCGCAATTAATTTTCCAATCGAAGGGGTGTGTTTTGAAACAGAATTATTGCCATTTGAGGTGAGTTGCAAGACTTATTTCGTAGAGGTCAGCCGTGAGTACCACTATTCATCTTTTGGCTATTATTGTTGTAAACGTTTTATATCAGTAATAGTTTGGGATGTCAAGCCGAAAAAAAAAGGACAACCGAAAATAGATATTAACCGCCAGCTATTGTCTTTCCCAAATCGCCCCGTGCACTTCTTGTGGTGCATCTGTGTGCGTGTTTCGATGTGGAGTTTTTACACTTGTAAGTTATTGTACATATCTGGTGAATTTTCAAAATATTTTGCCGAAATCTTTCTAGTTCGTCATCGTTTGAAGTTCGTGAAGCGTTCACCTCCTCCTTCCTGTGTTTCCCCTTATTTTCATTCATTAAAGAAAGTAACATCAACTCTTGCTTTCCGGCCTGGCCAAATCTTGATGCTGTGTGTTAATCGTTAGTTTTCCTCTCCACTAGCAAATTTGCCAACCGAATATTTCTCTACCAGTAGATTTCGGTGTAAATTCTTCTTGCATAATGCATACGCTTCGCCGAGACAGGAGACTAAGAAGACAATAAGGGATTATGTCGAAGGATAAATGCTTTGTCCACTGCAGAGCTCAGGGCTTTTTCTTCCTTTTGTTTCTACATAAAAAAAAGAAAAGTATTTGAAGTGAAATTAAAATCGACAGTAGTTCTAAGTTTCTATTTTCTTTTTGATACTCGCCAGTTCCGTTTGCAACTGACTTTAAGAGTTTTCGGAGCAACTGCAGAATTCCTTGCCACTTTGGTCCACCTCGAGCTCATTTACATGTGTCGAGAGGCTTTGAAGATCGGGGTCTAACACAGTAAACGTTATTCTTATTCAATGACATGTAAATGGATGGCAAGGTATTCTGCAGCTTAGCCGAGTTTTCCATTTCCAATTTAAAAAAAATTCAATGAACTTGTCAGTTACTGAAATAAAGAAACAAAGCCTCGAAAAGAAATGCTGGATCAACTGCAGAATACCCTGCCACTTTGGTCCACCTCATTTACATGTGTCGGGAGGCTTTGAAGATCGAGGCATAACACAATTCAAATTCAAAAACAATTCTGTCATTCATCAAACTAAACAACAAGATAGAAGCAGATAGGTAGCGAATTTAAGAAAACTAAGGTAAAATTTCCGCACAGCCCCATACTATTGTAAAACAAATCTGTTTTCCCAATGGCAATGTATTACTTTTGTCATTGTTTTCTTTATCCAAGAACTGAATGCATAATTTAGTATGGGGCTGTGCGAAAACTTTACCAAAACGAACGACACTTTTAAACTTAAAAAACATGTTTCGACAGTTCTTCTGTCATCTTCAGCTCTGAATAAGACAAAGTACAAAAGTTGAATTTAAAGCATGTAACAAAATGTTGACTGGATAAAACAAACAATGGTAACAGAACATTTATAAGGAAAGTTTTAAATTAACACGGTAAAGTTGGTGATTAAGAGTAGGTTTTCTCCCATTGAATGTGGACAGCTTCTTTGATTTTAAGGTAGAAAGTTGTGGAAGCATGATCTAGGGTGTTAAAACATTCATCAGAGCAAAGAGTGCGACATTGCGGAGAATTGTGTAGATGTCTGAAAATGTGAGAGGTCCTGTCTTTGCATTTTCCTCAATTTACAAATTGTGAGAAATTTTGGCGCTGATAAATTAAAATGTGAGGCGAACATTTTGTCCGTCCTAGAATGGGTCAACCTTAGATTCTGAAGAGATCAACTCAATCGAGAAACGTGATTCCATTCGACCTACAGGCATCGAAATTCGTAACGAAAACACTTTTCTGCTTGATTACTTATTTCAAATCTATGCGTCGCAGAGCAGATGCCTTCGATTTGTAGCCGTTCTTCGTAGTGGAGTAACTGGAACCTCCGAGGCGAGTAAAGGTATCATTTTTGATGCTCAACACTAAGACCCTCACTTCATTCTTTATCTTGTCGAACTTCGTTTTGAGAAACGTCTTGACTCGACGCTCGCAGAACTAACAGTATGTGCACACTGATTTTCTTCTAGCAAGAAAATATGAACGACTTTAGTATTGTCAGAGATTTGTGCCGTTAGATAATTGCAACGAAATATTCTCGGTCAGAGGATAGAATTAACTAGTTCCGATGTTTTTCTGTCCTGTGTGCAAATATCATAAGTCCTTTCTTTGTAAATTGGTCTTATTCACGTTTATAGTTCGCCCTTGATTTGCATCGAATGAAAGCTTTAAATCCTAAAGGTTTTAGGTGAACTGGAAAGGGCAGTTGTCATTCGAATAAGGTTTAAAAAAATATGAGTTCGAGCTATGATATTGCATGATATTGGTGAACCTATATGACAAACTGGTGCAGGATTTACAACATTTTGACTGAACAAATTAAGATTCAAATAGGTACTGATTGTATTCCTCTGTTGGCTTTCATTTCGAATTTATCCTCGTCAATTTATTAGGAGTTTTGTCTTCCCCTCTGTATTCTTTGAAAAAGTAAACGTTTTCTCACAATTGATCGACGTAAAACTACCTTAGGTGAAAGGCCTTTATGATATTGGTACAAAACAGCGCCCCTCTTATGATACTG